AACATTTATTGACATGACCTGATAAATAAAACTTGACAGAACACAGACGGTCAAGTGTCAAATGCCATAACTTTTAGTTCACAGTAGAGGGCGTATCGCTTATCTTCAGATCCCAATACAATGATAAATTTCATCAAGAAGTTGGAATATAGAGAAAAGTGTGCGAAATACGTAAACAAATAAGCTATGTCAAAATTTTGAGGTTAATGTTTACATATGATGCTGCATTCTTTTTTTTTTTTCCTGGGCTCGTCTGACTATGTGTCTCCGAATAACACTAAAGCCTATTGGCTTATTGTGTTTTACCCCATGTTAGTTCATAGCACCCACTCTATCACCTTTGTACCTTGTACAAGTTTGTACAGATCCTTGGGTGAGTGGGTTCTATACGTTGTTGGATCAACCTGGGGTTGTCCAAAAAGAGCCTGTCTTTTGCGATCTAGAGCTTCGCATTCGCACAGTATGTGTTTGGCCGTTTCTGGTTTCTTGTGACATAGTCGGCACATGAGTTCCCCATTGTACATGCCAATTTTGTTCAAGTGTCCCTTTACTGGGGCGTGCCCAGTCATGAACCTTGTTATCACTTTCAACTGGTTCCTATTCATTAAGAGTAGTTCTCCAGTTCTTTTGGGACATGGTCTGCCTATGAAGGCTTTTCCATGTGCCTGTTTTGAGGTGCTTCCCCAATAGTTGATATGTTGTTCCCGAATCCAGTCATTTATAAAACCCTCGACTGTACTTTTTGGTACTCCTGGGTTTGTGTCTGGTTCCGGTGTTTCTTCTGACCCTCTTTTTGCAAGTTCGTCAGCCTTTTCGTTGCCTTCGATCCCTTTGTGATCTGGCACCCAAAATAGTTTTACTCTATTTCGGTCTGCCAGTGTTCTTAGTTCTTCGATGCATTCCCATACCAGCCTCGACGTAATTTTCTGACTCGATATGGCCTTAAGTGCCGCTTGGCTGTCTGACATTATTTGAATATGCTGATTTTCGACAGCTCTTTCATTGTTCGTTTTTGCACATTGCAAAATTGCGTATACCTCGGCCTGAAATACCGAGGAATGTATTCCTATAGCATAGCTATGGTTAGTATCAGGGTTTTTGGAGAATACTCCTACCCCAGTGCCTTCCGCAGTCTTAGACCCGTCTGTATACCAGGTTTGTTCCTGTCGTTGGGCATTGGGCTCCCTTATGGTGATGTCCGCTCTTTCCTGTATTAAAACCTCAAAGGGAGTATTAAAAGAGTACCTCTTGGTTATGTGGTCTGATCTCATGTCTAGCACGTCTCCTGTCACTAACCTTGAGATACTCATGTGACCTGGCCTAATGTCAAGATTTCCCAGTGTATTCCCTAATCTGTAAGCACCCAATCTTGCCTTCCCTTGTATCACATAGTGAAGAGGTGGGAGTCCTATTAGTGCTTCTTCCATTGCAGCAGTGGGGGTTGTTTTCATTGCCCCCGTTATTCCGAGGCAGGCAAGTCTTTGTACCTTGCTTAGCCTCGTTATTCCTTTCCTTTGCTGTGTCTTTGGCCACCACACCAAAGCTGCGTATGTTTTTTATTACTGGGACCTCTAATATTTTTGAAATATGAGAAGTAGAAATTTAAGGTTATAAACAATAAAACCGGTTCAACTAAAAGAATGTGTCCAATGTTCAGGAGAGATAAAAAAATGTTTTAAGGACAAAATATTTATTGTTTTTTGTATTTCATTCTATGCTCAAGCGTTTTATTTTTCTTGTTTGATGACCTTTGCCAAAGTGTCAGATCAGTGTCAGTCCCAGACTTGGCCGCTATATACTGCAGAGTATCGAAAAGAAATCAACTTACTATACGTCATAGTACCCTTACTTATTAAGGTAGACAACTCGTTTATGCACAGAACAATGACTTGACCGGTTTAGGCACTGGACCTCTCAATTATATTCGACGATGAATGTGACTCTTCTCTGGGGATTGATGAAATCAGATCACATAAGTAACTGGTATTTTTAAACACTCTGTACTTACCACGCTCATACATATGAATGATTACTTATTTCGTCAAACTTTTCAGATGAAACAAAGCGAAAATATAAAATGCTAATAGATACAAAAAAATCCATACATAAATAGATAGAAACAGAGATGAAAGAACCTTTATTACAAAATCCAGAAAAATATTCAAATCCAGGAATCCAACATTTCTATATCGCATCTTTTTATTCTCTAGAGATAGAAAAGAGAAGTTCTTGCTTTGTACATTTTAAAATATGATTTAGAGTCGTTTTTTGTATTGCTTTTCACGTTGGATATGCAAACATTCTTAGGTCCCACTCTCATACGAAACTTTGTAAATTCGTTTTACTTTTATTAATTTCCTGCTTCATACCTCTTGATATTGCAACGTCATTTTTGAGATATTTCTAAAAATACCTTTAGTATTGTGCTGGGTTAATTTGACTGATGATAGTACTAGAAGGATTTAATTATTTGAGATTTTTTATTTTTAAAAATCTACATACTATTTTGTGTTTTTTCTGATCTGTTACACTCGCCTCATATTTTACAGATCATGACTTTAAAAAATATTTTTTAATACAGTGTGTCGCATTTAAGATGAAGACACCCCTATATTTTGGCAATCTAAATAAATACAGATTTGAAATTTTGCACAGTCATACAAGGTGATGGTTCACATTTTTCAAGATACTCAACTGAAATTTAAATTTTAAACGCGGCCTACAGCGAATTCACAAACGGGGTCAATTTTCGATATTTTTCTTCGCGTTAGAGACATCAGAAAAAGTTATTTGAAAAAGTTGTTCCGAATATTATTCTAACCGCACATACCAAATTTCATGACACAAAATTATTAAAAGTTGATTTTTTTATTCGATATGCCATGGAAAGGAATAATTTGACACTTGTGAAATCATTAATGTCAATCAGATTAGACTTTCAGTTTAGTGTAATTCATGTAATTTAAATTCTTCAATAAAATAAATAACATTAACACAAACGAATAATTATTTTATTTTAAAAAAACAATAATTTTTAGTAGGTAAATGATTAAATTTAAGAAAATATTTAAAACAATAATTTTCATAGTACAAATGACAATTTATCAAATGTTATCTCGCTCGACTAGTCCTCCATTTATTCGAATACATTTTTCAATTCTTTTACGATTATGTCTGGATACTCGTCTAAGTTCTGGGATGCTGATTTCTTGACAGGCTTGTCATATTCTGGCAAAAAGTTTATTTCGATTTCAGGGCCTTGTTTTATAAACTTTATTTTTTATCAGTCCCTAAAAATAAAAAACGAGTGGTGTAATATCAGGGGACCTCGGAGGCCAGGGTTCAAAAGGACTGTTTCCTCCTATCCAGCGCATAGGAAATTTTTGGTTTAACCATTGACGAACAATCCTTGAATTGTAAATGGATGCACCATCTAGCTGGAAATACATATCCTGTCGCACATTGAGAGGAAGACTTTCTATAGCATCCCATAATTCCCTATCAAAAAAGTTAACTAAACGACCAGAATTTAATGATTCATTAAAGAAAAAAGAACCTATTATTTGGTCTCCCAAAATTCCACACCAGACATTGACTTTCTGGGAATATTGATCTTTACAATTTATAACCCAGTAGGGATTATTTCTGGCCCAGTATCTACAATTTTGAGATGATACAACGCCATTGGTGGTAAATGTAGCCTGATCTGTGAACATAATCTTCTCCAGAAAATGCCTGTCATTTAAAAAATAACTTTGGGCCCAATAACAATCTTTCATTCTCATCGCTCTCTTTTAATGTATGTAAGAACTTTGGTTTATAGGGCTTGATTTTGTGACGGATGAAACATCTTCTGATTTTATCCTTAGTAATATTCAGCTGAGATGATAAATCTAGAATACTCATGCGTGGATTTGCTCGATTTGCCGCCAGTACATCGTTATCCTCAGGATGCGGGTGTATTCGCCGAGGTTTCACTGAAAAGAACATTTATTGCGGCTGTTTTTCCATGTGTAATGGAAGCACGTTGCAGATGTCTTCTGTTAAACTCTGCAGCAACTTCTCTGCTACTACGAGCAAAATCACCAAACAATCGGATTACTTAGATTTTTTCGTTTAAAGTCAACGGCATATTAATTCGTTTTTCACTAAATAGAACTCAATGTAATAATCTGAAAGTCTAATCTGATTGACATTAATGATTTAACAAGTGTCAAATTATTCCTATTCATGGCACACTAGTTTATCGAATTAAAAAAAATCAACTTTTAATAATTTTGTGTATTGACCAAAATAATAAAAAAACTAAAAAGGGGAATTTTGTCATGAAATTTGGTATGTGCGGTAAGAATAATATTCGGAACAATTTTTTCAAATAACTTTTTCTGATATCTTTAACGCGAAGAAAAATATCGAAAATTGACCCTGTTTGTGGATTCGCAGTAGGCTGCGTTTAAAATTTAAATTTCAGTTGAGTATCCTAAAAAATGTGAACCATGACTGTGCAAAACTTTAAATCTGTATTTATTTAGATAGACAAAATATAGGGGTGTCTTCATCTTAAATGCGACACACTGTATAAATAGGACAGTTATATAAAATACTTTGTATATTTGTGTTAAAGGCAAGTTTTAACACTAATATCATCAATAGCTATTATCTGCAGAAACGCGAAACTTTAAAGACTTAAAAAATGAATTTCGAGGTCTTGCTCTTTAATAATTTAAATTATTTCTAAATGATACTAATGTATTAAATCATTCATAGTAAAACCACTCTTTGAATTAGTCAGTTTTTTTTTGTATTTTGTAATTCTATCAATCTTGGTTTTATTAGTTTATTTTCTACCTCCATGAATTCCTTTATAGTATATACCATGTATAAACTGCTCTATATATCATTGCAAAACTTGTTTTTTAAGAGCTTCCCGTTGTTTTGCTCCTACTCAGAATTAGACGTAATCAAGCACATTACACAGATTACATAAATCATCTACTCACCCCCTTGAGGGAAGAACTGGGCGTAAATCATCTTAAAAGTGTCCTCCTTGACGACACCGGTAGGACATTCGGCCTTAAATCCGCGATAAATTCTCTTTATTTCGGCCTCGCTGAAACGGGTGGCCCTACAAAGGGCCTCTAAACTGTCGGGCCTGTAGCGCGGCGGTGTTTCCAAATCCTCGAGTTCTGAATCTGAAAAATAACAAATGCTTAATTAAAGATTGATTTTCCGGCTTCAAGAAATTCGTAAGCAGCATTTTTATTAATTTAATTTAATTATAAGCCCAATAAACAAATTGTGGCCCTTCGCCCTACAGAAAAAATATGTTTTTTGCTTGGTAGTCAGCGTGTTAAAATTGGGCTTATAACACCTATCTTTAAAAAAGGGTGTCAACTGTCACAAGATAACTATAAACTATGAAGAGTAGAGAGAAGGGGGCGAATCAGCATACCTGAAATAGGGTCAAAAAAAAAAAACGCTAATTGAGTTTTTACACGTCAGCGCAGAGGCGCTACGGTCAGTAATTATATGGCTTCTTGTTGGGAATTTTACATATTGTGACATTAATTAAAATAAACTTGTTTTTTATTTAATTTTAAATGTCTTACTTGTTTAAATTGATAAATTATTTTCTTTTTTTTTATTAATCATAACCAAATAATGATGATAAATGTAGAAAATGTGGAAACGGAGAAATTTGGTAAATACTACTTTTGAGTTATGACTAAATAGGGGACAATGTAAACCCCTAGGTTTTTTTCATAACATCGGCAACAATGCACAGGATCCCGCAGGAAAAGAGGCTGAAGATAATGAGGCATTTAAATGGAATTTTGTGCAGAATTTTAGTATTTTATAATGTGTTAAAAGACCTTTAAAATGTAATTTATCGTGGTTTTAAAAAATATTTGTTAATTGATTTTATCATTTCTAAAAAAAAAAAATAATATCCTAACTGAACATCAACATGGTTTTCTTCCGGACCAATCAATGGAAAATATTTTGCCTACTCCAACAAAGTACATCGACAGCTGGATAGAGAGCAGTAGTAGATGTAATTTTCTTTGACTTGTCCAAAGCTTTTGACACAATTAAATTACATGTATTAGGTTTCAGGGACCTAATTTTAAAATAGTTCTTATTTAGATGCACGTCAGATATATACAAAAGTGAGTAATTGTAAATTAGAATTGAAAAATATAACCCAAGGAGTATCGCAAAAATCAGTTTTGGGGCTACTAATATTTTTGTTATATGTAAATGATCTTCTTCAACATGTTTCGGTGCCTGCAGATTAAACTGTATGCACATAATACAACTTTTCTTATGAAACTTCTTCAGATGAGCTGCAGCAGAAGCTTCACTTAGTAGCTGTCATGCGGACAAACTGGGGTTTTTCCAGTGGATTATCGAAAACAATTGGAATTTTTTCAATGGTTCCAAAATAATCTAAACAATGATGATATCCTTAGTTTTTGTCTTAGATAAGGCTTGGTTTTATGAGGTGGTGGTCACTTAAACCAAAAAGTTGGGTTTGGATTGAAATATTATGTCGAAAAAGATTGGTGGGTCCTATTTTTTCGCTTGCTAACTACAACACTGGTATATTTAGCTTTCCTTAGGGTCTTGATTTAGTTATATAATATAAATAATATTGATTTGTTTGAATTAAAAGCGTTTATTATCAGTTGATTAATTAACCATTTTATTTTCATTAGGTATATTCGTCAAACTTGTAAATACACGGTCCAGAGAAAATCGGAATGTTTATTTACGCCACATTCAACATACAAGCTTGAATTTGTACGTATACTAACAAAATTTTTGTTTTTATTGACAAAATAGTTATTTTGCTTTTAACATTTATGTAAAGATATTTGGTATAGGTAAATAAACATTGGAAATACGTCGGCATGGAGTTATTTCCTTGTTTTAACTAAATATTTTTATAATTAAATTAAAATAATAGATGGGTATTATACGGACAAGTAATTAATGTAAATATATTCCATAACATTTTGAAAATCAATGCAACTATTATCAGTGGTCACAAAAGGGTTTAAATCAATTCAAAAAAATCAATAAATAAGTATTAATAATACTCTCATTCTATATTCAAAATTAAAAATAAAAATATCTCACACATAAGTAAAAGTTTAGAATACAGCAGAAAATTAAACAAAGTAAGTTGACGAAACCGAAATGTGAATACCAAAATTGAACGGTGTGATTTAGACTTTGCATTATAGTCGTTCATCGCATTCAAATTTGACAGCTCTAATTATAAAGTACAAGAAGAAACATTATTTATAGAATCTCTCAGAACTGCTCTAATGACTTCAAGCTCTCCAACTGATGCTAAACCCCAAGAAAAGTCAGCTATTCCCAAATTAAGTCAACTGGGTCATATAGTCAGCAAGGATGGCGTTACTGTAGGTAAGGAAAAAGTCGCATCTATCATACAGTGACCACAACCAACTGATAAACATCAAATGGAAAGTTTTCTTGGGCGTTATACGTACTACCGAAGATTTAGAAGGAAGTTCGCAGATGTCGCTAAGACATTAACGTGACAGAAAAAGCAAAAGAGTTCTGCTTAGGCGAAGACTATCAAACTGCCTTTGAAGCTTTAAAGAATCATTTAACCACAGTGTCAGTTCTAGGCTACCGACTACCAGAGGATGGATTTATTCTGGATACTTATTCCAGTAATGTGGTAATTGAAGAAGTACTTTTGCAGATTTAGGAAGAAAAATACTGGGTTATTTTAGCAAGGTATTCTCGAAACCTGTGCGAAATTACTGCCTTACAAGAAGAGAACTCCTAAGTGCATGGAACATTTCTATTCGGATTTTTAATTCGGACCGACCATGCAGCCCTTAAATTACTGATGCAGTTCAAAAACCCGTAGAAAAAAATCGAAAAATGGATCAAACGACTTCAAGAGTACGATTTTAAGATCGGACATCGAGCCAGAATAAGTCACAGAAATTCCGATTCTCTTTCTGGAAAACAGTGCCTAGCAGAATGCTTTCACTGCAAAAGAGCAGAATCCAAAAAAAGTGGACTGCTAACAACAAAGACAAGTGGGCTCCTACCAAAACTAGGGAAGAACAAAAGGACAATAACGTTTTAAAAAGATGCGAAAATAAAAAAAGGAAAATCATCGACCTACTGGGCAAGAAGTATCGAAACTTTCCTGTAGTTAAGTTATATTGAGCTCAGTGGGTCTATTTTATCCCGGAAGAAGGTTTATTAAAGCGATTACTCAAAAATAATGATGGGACAGTTTATCAGAAGAACATATCAGTGTTAAGAAAACCTCCCAAAGAGTTTGTAAAACATTCTATTGGATAAACAGTTTCGATGATGAAAAGGACTGGTATAGGAAATGTACTACCTGTGCTAAGGGTGAACGATATTACCGTAAAAGAAAGGTTCCTAGGCAACAATACAATATCGGCAATCCATTTGATAGGATTGCCTGAGATATTAAAGGACCGTTCTCCATAACCGAGAATGGTAATAAATACATGATGGTGGTCATGGCTTATTTTATGAACTAAGTGAAAGTCTACGCCATTCCAAATCAAGAAGCCGCAACTGTTGCAGACGTATTGATAAAATAGTTTAACAGACGATTTGAAGGGCCCTTGGAGATTCACAGTGACCAAGAAAGAAAGGTTTAAGGCCAGCTTTTCCGAAGAATCTGTGACATGATGAAAACCAGAAGTAAAGCGATGCACCCAATGGTAGAGCAAATGAATAAGAACACTGGCAGATACCTAGTGAGATTTGGCTCAGTATCTTCCGCAATGGCCTACACTTTAAATAGTGACTCTATGTGCTATCTGACTCGGGGAAATAAAAGAGCAGAACAACAATTAACAATGTATTAAAGATAAATAGAGTATCCAAAAAGTCACAATAAATATAACAAAGGGTTATAACAAGGGCTAAACATCTAAAAGCGACGAGGGCACGTCGCGTTACTTCTTCTATTGGGATGCGAGACGATAATGAGACTCAAACTATGAGTACCGGATGAGACTCCGGCAGAGAGTCTAGGGTGAGACCCCGATCAAGAGTCTAGGATGAGACTCCGACAGAGAGTGTCGTTATTGTTCACCCAGACGATTTTTTATTAATCGATTAAGATTAGTCTAATGTTATATTTACTTTTATCAAGGACGTACTTTTGAGTTGCATCTAATGTTAATCAAAATAATATATAAAATGTATATTAAAATAGAAAATGTATATTTTATATCTAGGGTGATATTTGTTTAGCGTGACAATATGGGACTTCCGTGCGATCTCGTATTTGGATGCTGATCTGGAGAAGATATAGGCGGTGAAGATTATGTGTTCTAGTTAGAAAGAAAAATGTACGATATGCATGAGTTGGTTCGCTCACATCTGCAGGGTGAAGAAAAGAGTCCGAAATTCAAGCCACAGAAGATTGGTTCAAGGAAGACGACAAAGTCTCTCTTCATGAAGCAAAAAGACAGAAGGTTCAAGGGTCTTAAGAAGGTCTGAACCTCATCAAAAAAAATTATGATGTCATTTACCGTAGAAAAAAGATCCCGGGGACTGACTCTCTAACCAGCGTTTTTGAAAGTACTCTAGAAACGCGATAAACATCTAAAAAAAGTGTAAATCACAAACGTTTTGGTATTCTCTACTTCCTGTGATGTGCGTATTTGAAAAACATAAATGGTTTTCAAAAAAACTTACATATTATGAGTGGTGTTTTACTATTTACACTTTAAATTTTGACATTTAAGGATTTAAGATTTGTGGACGTAGATCAATTAAACAATAAAATTTATACGGTTTATTATGTTTTTGATTCACTATAATTTTGGAATTGGCCTTAATAAATTCTAATACAGTTTGCTTTTGGGCCATATCCAGTTGCTTTTAAACTACTGCGTTTATGTTTAATGATTAATGAATTATAACAATCTCATAATGACATTCATATCCTAACCTAAGTTATTCAGACCAATCAGCACTTACGAATTATAATTATGACAGCCTGTATCGGATTGGGCCGTCAGTCTACCGGTCATAAGATCGGGAGGCCTTCGTTCAAGCAGTGGGTCTTCGTTGCAAAAAAGCCTTGACACTTTGCCCACCATTTTGTAATATTATTCGTTACCTTTTTGATAAATGTAATTTCAAAACA